AAGTGCTGGGATTACAGGCATAAGTCCCTGCGCCCGGCCTGTCTGAGGATATTTTAAGAATGAAGTCCTAAAAGCTAATTAAATGTTCTGTGTAGTTAAGGTTTATTGAACATTGGACTTTACCGTATGGGAGATCAGGCTGATGGTGAACCTGGCCTGTTGGGTGACCTCTAAATGCTGAAATGTGGAGGTCTTTTGTTTGGGCCTGGCTCCAGGATTCTGAGATCAGGGCAGGGAAAGAGAGCATACGGTTTACAACACTCCATATGTAGACCTTCACTTAATTCTCCCTGCCCCTAATCCCTGAGGGTTGTAAGGTTCTGAGGGGCCCCTGACCTCTTATCTGTAACTCCCTTTTGTAGCATTTAGACAGAAGTTCCTCCACCCGGCAGGAGCCAGCTGCCCACGCTGCTGCCTCTTAGATGGTTATTTATTCATTCATTTGTTCATTTTTGCAGTTTTATAATTTTATTTGACAATCAGCAGTTTGTTCTCATCCACAGTGACTGACTGCCAGCTTCTGAAAGTGGCAATAGGCACACAGGTAACCAGAATAGAGTTTGTTTGGTGACTCTTCATCCTCATTATGCTTTCTGGACAGCTGCACGTGGGTATGGTATGGAACGTTCCTTATTCCTTCGGCCCAGGCAGCTTTGTTGAGCCTAGTGTTAGCACGTCTGGAATCCCCATCTGTTTATGGCAAAGTTCTGGGTCTCTTTGAGGGCCCAAGGCCCAAGGGGCATGCTGCTTGAAGTCCACTCCATGGGTGTGCCTGTGAATGCTGATGTCATATTCTGGTGTCACCACCTCATTGTTGGCGGGTGGCAGAATAGCTCTTTTTCTTCTTTTTTAGACAGAGTCTCGCTCTGTCACCCAGGATAGAGTATGGTGGCACAATCTCGGCTCTCTGCAGCCTCTGCCTCCTGGGTTCAAGTAATTCTCCCACCTCAGCCTCCCAAATAGCTGGGACTACAGGCACATGCCACCAGGCTCAGCTAATTTTTGTATTTTTAGTAGAGACAGGGTTTCACCATCTCTTGGACAGGCTGCTCTCGAACTCCTGACCTGAGATGATCCACCCACCTCAGCCTCCCAAAGTGCTGGGATTACAGGCATGATGAGCCACTGCACCCGGCTAATACCGTTTTTTGTTTTTTGTTTTTTGTTTTGAGACAGAGTCTTGCTCTGTCACCCAGGCTGTAGTGCAGTGGTGCAATCTTGCTCGGCTCACTGCAATCTTCACTTCCCCAGTTGAAGCAATTCTCCTGCCTCAGCCTCCCAAGCACTTGGGACTACAGGTACATGCCACTACACCTGGCTAATAATTTTTTGTATTTTTAGTAGAGACTGAGTTTCACCATGTTAGCCAGGATGGTCTCGATCTCCTGACCTCATGATCTGCACCCCCTCAGCCTCCCAAAGTGCTGGGATTGCAGGTGTGAGCCACCGTGCACAGCCCCAACACCCTTCTTTACAGGAGCTGTGCTGCTGGGCCCAAGTTGAAAAGGGCTTTTAAAAATTTGTTTATATCTCTTCTCCACTGAGTTTGGCTTTTGATCCTTAAGAATTTACACATACAAACACACACACACACACACACAAATTTCTTTTCATAATTGTTATATTGTTTGGAGAGAGGGAGAAAATATATGTACATGGTCAGTGTGCTATTAGCTCTAATAGAATTTTTTTTTCTTTTTTTTCTAATAGAATTTTTATTCTGTTCACTTACATGTATATTTTTCAGTTTTGCTTAAATCTTTTTCCCCTTATCTTCTCTCATGCCATCCCCTTTGCCCCCAGCAAACTGTGTTAACACCTGATACTTACCTGTTCATGTTTCTGTTCTCATTCAGTCATACTCATACATATATTCAGGGAGGTCTTTTTCATAACTTATTTCCATAGAAAATGGAATCACACTGGCCGGGCGCAGTGGCTCACATCTGTAATCCCAGCAGTTTGGGAGGCCGAGGAGGGCGGATCACAAGGTCGAGATCAAGACCATCCTGGCCAACATGGTGAAACCCCGTCTCTACTAAAATATAAAAATTAGCTTGGCGTGGGGGTGCACACCTATAGTCCCAGCTACTCTGGAGGCTGAAGCAGAAGAACTGCTTGAACCTGGGAGGAGGATATTACAGTGAGCCAAGGTCATGCCACTGCACTCCAGCCTGGTGCCTAGCGACAAAGCAAGACTGTTTCAAAAAAAAAAAAAAAAAAATGGAATTATACCATAAAAAGTTGTTTGCAACTTCTTTTCCTCACTCATCAACACATTCTGGCCATCTGCAGGCCAACAGATGGGTCTATGCAATTAATTCTCATTCTCTTTAATATTTGCATAATATTCCATAGTAGATAGCAATCATCTATTCGGCCATTTCTAGTTTGATAGACATTTAGATTTAAACTAGATCTCACCTTATTCAGCCATTCTCTCTTGATGAACATTCAGTACCACAGAAAAATAGGGAAAGCTATCCATTTTTTTAAAGCTTGCATAAACTTAATTCTAAAACTTCATAAATCTTACAGAGAAAGAAAAACTATGGCCCAATTTCATTTATGAATATAAATCCATGCAATTCTAAATAAACTATTAGCAAATGTAATTTACCAGAATATCAAAAGAATGACCTCATGGTGCATTAACCTAGTTTGTTAATCCATGCTGGAGAGGAGAGATCTCTGATAAGGTTCAGGGCTGTTCTGAATGAAAACTACAAACGATAGTAACCAAAGGGAAAGATTTATATGCAACCATAACTATCAGAAACCAAGACCAAAACCAGTGTTCCATGGGGCATGCCAAACTATTTCCCTCTATCTCGGGAATGAGAGGAGGGCACCCGCCTGTGGCACTGGGAATCAGCTGCCTGTGTTTTCAAACCCTTCCACTTTCCTCTTGGTCTTTATGCAGACAAGAGCTTTTCATCATGGACATCGTCCTACAGTGTTTTGGGGTTTTTGTTTTGTTTTGTTTTGTTTTTTGAGACGAAGTCTCTCCTAGTCGCCAGGCTGGAGTGCAGTGGTGCGATCTCGGCTCGCTGCAACAACTGCCTCCTGGGTTCAAGTGATTCTCAGCCTCCCAGGCAGCTGGAACCACGGGCGCGCGCCACCACACCCAGCTAATTTTTGTATTTTTAGTAGACACGGGGTTTCACCATGTTGGCCAGGATGGTCTCGGTCTCTTGACCTCGTGAGCCACCGCGCCTAGCCCCTGCAGTGTTTTGGAAATAATTCCCAGTGGCTGGTAGGAAGTTACTCTAAATGGTGTATCTGTTTGCCTTCTCTGGAAAAGCTCCCCATCTCAAGGGGAAAGAACTACTTTCTTATCCTCCACATCCTAGGAATTGTAAGAGAGAGGAGAAATGAGGGGCTTCAGGGGAGTTAATCTCCTCGCCATTCAGGGAAGAGTGGCATTTATTAGTGCGGGCCTAGGCAGTCAGATGGATTTTGCTGGGAACATGTGAGGAGCGCCTGGTGGGGCCGTGGTGCTAGCCCGGGACCTGTGGGGAGAATTAATCGCAGCAGCTGAATAGGGCCGGGAGCACTGAGGAACTGGCGTCCCAGAGAGAGAGGATCCAGGTGCAGTAGCTCGTTCAGAGCCAATCCTGGGCGCATGTGGATGTCATCCTGCATCCACCCTGTGAATGAACCCTGGTGGCACAGGGTCTTCTCTGCTCCCTCTCCAGAGAGAGGAGGGTACCAGCCCCAGCACCCTACTCACACCAGTCACTTTTGGCCTTGCAATTTCCCGCCTGCGTCAGCATCTGACTTTCCACGCCGGGATGCATTTGGTCCGTTTTGCCAGTTCGAGAACTGGAGACCCCCGAGCCTAAGCTCCTCATGGGGCCTGCCGTGGCTGCATTGCCAGGTCTGAATGAGTGGGGGCTTCTGATGACCTTACGAGTAGCTTCCATTTATTAAGCTCTTACTCTATGCCCGACTCTGGAGGAGGAGGCCATTGGTCACAGAGCAGCCCTTTTGTGCCAGACACGGGGCACAGTTTGCCTCGTTTCACAGGCAGTGAGATGGTTCTGGGCATAGTGATTCTCCGGTGCTTCTAGGGAGCTGCCTGTCTGGCAGTGCTGCAGTGCGCAGACTCATTCCCGTTGTTTGAAAGGTTTATCTTGCAGACCTGCTGGAAGGGAGAAGTGAGCGACTCCCGCAGGCACACCCTGAGCCCCAGCCCACCCCTACTCCCGAGGAGTGCGTCTCTGTTTCTGTCCCATAGTGCTCAGCAATGCTACAGAGTTGGTATTACGATTATTCTGATTTTATAGTTGAAGAAATTGAGGCTTGGGGAGGGGACTCAACCCCGGGTTCCAGTTGTGTGTCTGTGTACGTGTATCTGAGTGCGTGTGTGTTTCGCGAAGTAGGTCAGCCAGCAGCACATAAGCCTAATGGTTACATTTCCCTGGTAGCATTTGTCACTTGGGCTTCTAAATTTGGCCATCAGGATCGCTTCAGGGTTGGAAAGTTAACACATACTGCCCGGGAGGGAGGCAATGTCATGTGATACGAGTGCCTCAGCTTCCTCATCTACAAAATGGGCTGAGGATAATACCGCGTCATGATTACCCGGAACAAGGCCTGCCACACGTTTCCTAGAGACTTTGTGAGAACTTAGTGAATGTTCCCCGACAGATCTGTCACAGAAACTGTAAATACTGTCCCTTATCCCTTCCACACCTCTTGCAGCAGTGTTATCCAGGAAGCTCGGAAACCTCAGGAGATACAGGGGCCCTTTTCTCAGCATACCCCAAGAAAACTCTCTCAGTGTCTCTTAAAGTTGTCAAGGTCCCAGTTTGTAGCAGTTCCCCATAAAATGCTAATGCCCTTTGCCATCCACTGGACTCACTCCTCATCCTGTTCCCCAAAAGTGACAAGGGCGGGCTGTGTCACGGCATTCCTCGCCAGGGGAGGGCCTCTGGCCCCGGCCCCTGAATTCAAGCCCTTTCCCAGCTGTAATAACCACCCTCTTCTTTCCACAGGGGCTAAACTGCACGGTCAAGAATAGTAAGTCACCTTTTTCTGTTCTTCTCGTTGCCTTGTTAATCAAGTGATGGCCTGGTGCCAACTTCTGGCAGAAGCCCTGCCATGCCACTCCAGGCTCAGGCTGTGAGCTGCAGCAGTCAGCAGGAGGGATCCGGGAGAATCATGAATGCGTGCACCTGCGCTTCCTCTCAAGAGCAGTCATTATGCAAAAGTCAGGAAAGGAGAAACAGAACGGTCATTGGATTGTGAAAGCATTCCCTGGGGTGCTGCCCTACTGGGTCTATAATGTAATTTGATTTGCCACAGCTTGCCACTGTAAGGTGAGAGACATCTGTGGTGTAGATTTTGTTTTGTTTTAATTCAAAGAGGAGGCACATATTCAAGTGTCTGAGCCAATTAGGGACCCCTGACATATAAAAATAAAGCAGCTTTTACTGCAGCCCCATCCCGCCTGTGCCCTCATGCCTAGTCACAGCTTCATCTCAAAATCAGTTGTGTACTTTGTCTTCTCTCCTGAAGTTCCCTTTCGACTTGAGAGATTTGTAGTGACCCCAGTACACGTTAGAACAGAGGGAGCAGGGCAGTGAAGCTGAGGACGCAGCCAAGGGTCACAGGCTAGCGGGTCACAGGCCTCCAAACTGTTTGCTGTTTGGCTGTCTGTACCTGCTGCTGGGGCCATCCATCTCCGCTGTAAGTCTCTGAGTGCTGCTCTTCCCTGGCTGCCAGGTACCTGCCTGGATGACAGCTGGATCCACCCTCAAAACCTGACCCCGTCCTCCCCGAAAGACCTGCAGATCGAGCTCCGCTTTGCCCGCACCCAGCGAGGAGACCTGTTCCCCGTGGCTCACATTGAATGGACACTGCAGACAGATGGTGAGTGGGCCTGCCAGCAGGACCCTGGGGGAGGCTCCCTGCCTCTTGAGTGAGTCCGCTCTCTCAGTCCTATGCTCAGACATGAGGGCTCAAACTTAGTGTTGTAAGGATCCATCATTGCAAGCGTTAACGCTTGTTCAGCGTTTTGGATATGAACCCGCAGTGATGCCTGCCCATCACTCCACTCCTCACGAAGGGACGCCTTCAGCCTAACATTGTTAGCACCCTGGGGAAAAAAAGCCAGCGGTTAATTTTGTGACTGCAGTACCAAAAATGCGGTCGAAAATGGCAACACATTGCCAGCCTGTTTGTTCCCTTAATTCAGGGGCCACTTTTTTGTTTGTTTGTTTGTTTTTTGTTTTTTTTTTTTTTTTTGAGACGGAGTTTCGCTCTTGTTACCCAGGCTGGAGTGCAATGGCACGATCTCGGCTCACCGCAACCTCCGCCTCCTGGGTTCAGGCAATTCTCCTGCCTCAGCCTCCTGAGTAGCTGGGATTACAGGCACGCGCCACCACGCCCAGCTAATTTTTTGTATTTTTAGTAGAGACGGGGTTTCACCATGTTGACCAGGATGGTCTCGATCTCTCGACCTCATGATCCACCCACCTCGGCCTCCCAAAGTGCTGGGATTACAGGCTTGAGCCACCGCGCCCGGCTCAGGGGCCACTTTTAAAACATCCTGGGAGCCTATTCAGGAATAAAGAGTTTATGTTACAGAATTGGGGCGCCTGGGGCGAATGCCAGGCTGTCAAAGCCCTCACCACAAATTTGCAAAGCCTTTGCTTCTAGCCCTGTGTAAAATGTCATATTTTTCCTTGCCCAGCTGGGAAATCACTCTCTGCAAGGAAGTAGGCAGAGAGCGAGCTGAAAGGGACAGGAAGTGGAGAGCCGGGTTAGACAGGCAGGTTTTCCTTCAAGAGTGAAGAGCCACGGCAGACAGGAAGGTGACACACCCGCGCTTGTCCTGACTGACCTGTATCTGTTTGCCTCCTCTCCTCCTCTGTCCTCCAGCCAGCATCCTGTACCTCGAGGGCGCAGAGTTATCTGTCCTGCAGCTCAACACCAATGAACGGTTGTGCGTGAGGTTCGACTTTCTGTCCAAACTGAGGCATCACCACAAGCGGGTAAGGATACAGCTCCTGAGCCGGGTCATGGTCTGCTGGTGACACCAGGACAGGCCCTAAATTCAGGACAGGCCCCAAATTCAGACCCTGATTTAGAGCGGTGAAGACCCAGAGGTGCTGAGAGAGTCTCAGGAATTCCAAACGGCAGCTTCAGATGGGCAGAAGTCAAAAGAGAAGTGGTGTGGCCGCCGTGAGCCATAGTGAGGGACAGAGTGTATTTTGAAAGCGTTCCTCACATACGCTGCCTTTTCTTCCCACTTTACCGAGCTATTCATTCTGAAAGAAAGGTGAATCGGAAGACAGCTTCCACAGCCCTGCCACCTGCCACCTTTCTGTAACTTTGTATGGCATCTTCTCTGTGTAACTCGGACTAAGCTGGGGCTTACCCTCAGGAAGAAAAAACCGCCCAGACCAAAGAGCTGCCGCAGGTGGGCAAACGAGCACTCCGCAGCCCGGTCTCAGGCTACCGCGCACGGCCACATGGTGAAACGTTGATTCTTGTTTAAGTTTGTTTAAAACAGTGGGTCCCAAAGTGTGCTCCCTAGATCGGCAGCCTCAACCTCACCTGGGAACTTGCTAGAATTGTGTGTGCTGGCCGGGCGCGGTGGCTCACGCCTGTAATCCCGGCACTTGGGGAGGCCGAGGTGGGCGGATCACGAGGTCAAGAGATGGAGACCAGCCTGGCCAACATGGTGAAACCCTGCCTCTACTAAAAATACAAAAATTAGCTGCACGGGGGCACCCGCCTGTAGTCCCAGCTCCTCGGGAGGCTGAGACAGAAGAATTGCTTGAATCCAGGAGTCGGAGGTTGCAGTGAGCCGAGATTGTGCCACTGCACTCCCGCCTGGTGACAGAGTGAGACTCTGTACTGAAAAAAAGAAGAGAAGAAGTCTGTTCTATGGCCCCACCCGAGATTTCCCAGGCCAGAAATTCTTAGGGTGGGGTCCAGCAACTGCTGCCTAACCCCACCCCTCAAGTAATCACGACATAAGCCTTAGTCTGAAGACTACTGGTTTAAATCTGTCAATGGCCACTTGAAAACAAGTTAGATCTCCCACAGACACAAGCAGCAAAGACAGAACTCCTCTTTGATGTTAGATTAGGACCCCCAAACTTGGCTGCTGTGTGATGGTGAGAACCAGGTTCCTCCATCCACTTAGAAGAGAAGGACCCCTGGCCTCTCCTCCAGGATAACTAGAATGGGGATTGGAGTTGATAGCTGTAATCTCTACCACCCAGAAAATAACTCGGAACAAATTCAAATATCTCTGCAGCTAAGGAGCCTGCTGGCCCAGGCCAAGTGGGCCTCTCTAGCTTGTCCTCCGCACGTTTTTACCGCAGAGTGTTCTCAAGAGATCTCTGGCTTTCCCATTTAAGGAGGAAGAACCATTTGACAAAGTTTTTACCTGCCTGTGTGCCAGATCTCCACAGCCCCAAGTCTTCTGGCTCAGCCGTCTCACACCCATTGTTCTAGAATTTGCGAAGCCTGGTGGGGGGCAGGACTGCTTTCCCTTATACACCATCCGCTCAGGAGGCCAGATCCTGGTTGCTACTGTTTTTCTTAACAGGCAGAAAAGACCAGAGGAAACAGGACAAAGATACTGATTTCCCTGACTGGGTTTTGCTGTGGTCGTTGCTTTATTCTTATTTTTAGCTGAATGTTTGGGAACGGGGGTCTTTGGGCATAGATGGGTGAGAGAGGTGCGTGTAACCCGTCCACCTTCCCTTCCTGCCTTCTCCTCAGTGGCGTTTTACCTGCAGCCACTTCGTGGTGGACCCTAACCAGGAGTATGAGGTGACCGTTCACCACCTGCCCAAGCCCATCCCTGACGGGGACCCAAACCACCAGTCCAAGAATTTCCTCGTGCCTGGTAAGAGCATCCTCCCAAGGCATTCCCTCCTCCCTGGGCTCTATGAGAAGGAAGCAGCAGGTGGCACAGACGCCAGCCCCCTCGCTCAGCAAGGCAGTGGCTGCCACTACCAGCAGCTGGGACCCACAAACAGAGGCCAGGACTGGGAGCTGCAGCCTCCACTCCCTGAGGCAGAGCCATTCTCTGCTGACACAGCACTGGACATTAGCCCAAGATCCCAGGAGTTTCCTGAGAACTGGAGTCCCTCCCTCTACCTAGAGAAGCACCATCCTGCCCCGAAAATAGCATGAAGGCAAAGCCGCAGACCACGCGTGGAGAAGTTGCGGCCTCTGCCTGCAGCCCGCTGCTGGCCTCCGTGGCTTCCTCTCTTCCCCTACCTTGCATTCTCCCTGCGTCAGGCAACACTCGTCCCAGGCATGGCGCTCTCTTTCCCGCGCCATCCACCCTGCCTGCGTTACTGCCCGGCTTTTCTTCTCAGGCATCCTTTGATGTACATGCACCTTCTACTTCGCCATCCTCCCCAGAGGCTCAGCTGTTACCTGCATTTCTCTTTTGGATTTTACTAGAGGCGGCCTCACTGTGTCACCCAGGCTGTAGTGCAGTGTTGCTCTCCCAGCTCACTGCAGCCTGGAACTCCTGGGCTCAGGCGACTCTCCTGCCTCAGCCTCCCTATAATTCTCACTGTTCATAGCCAGCTGTGTCAGGAAGCCTGCGTGATAACCAAGTCTGGGTCTTCTGCCCACTTGTACCTTCTCCAGAGCCTCACAAATTGCTTTGCATCTAGCAGGTGGCCCGGAAATGCTTGTGAAGGATGGCGTTGACCTTCGTCATCCTGGGGACACCCTGCACACACGCGTGTGCACACACACTCTCAGCTTATCCTGCTGTGTCCCCGCGTGTGGCTCCCCACTCCCTGGCATGGCGCTGCATGCTGTGTGTTTGCTTTTGTTGGTCTTTCCTACTGGCTTGAAGTCTCCATGGGGCAGGGCTTGGTCCTGTTCACCACTTACCTGCAGTGCCGAGAACAGGGCCTGGTGCACGGCTGGGGCCCAGCAGTATTTGTGGAAGGAGTCAGTCTCCCCAGTTCTCTCTTCGTTCCTAAAGCGACTGACTCAGTCCCGGTCCCTCCATGCTGACTCACGCCTGTCAGTCACGTGTCTTCTCAGCCTGGGCAAAGACAGGCAGCCAGGGACAAGAAGCTGTGGGTGGACAGAGAAGGAACTGGAGGGGACCAGGATTGCTTGGTCACCTGCAGCAAGCTCAGGAGGAATGCACTTGAACTAGGAGGGTTCCCTGAAAAACGACCATCAGGCAAGCAGGCTGGCGCCCATGCCAAGGTGGGTCCAGCCCTGGAGCTCAGAAGGGGCCACCCGTGGCCAGGCTCCCAGGGGAGAAAAGAGAGCTGTTCTGGTGTCGGGAGTCTGGAAGAACAGGTTTCCGAAGGCAGAGGCTTCATGAGTTCCCTTTTCTCTGCATGGGCAGGTTGCGAGGACACCAGGATGAAAGGAACCACGCCGTGCGTGAGCGCAGGTAACGGGCTGCCCGGGAGAGCCGCACACACGCACGCACACTCCCACTCCCACGCCCCTCCTCACTCCCAGCCTGCGTGTGTAACCTTGGCAGGCAGCCTGTGGGACCCCGAGATCACCGTGGAGACCCTGGAGGCCCACCAGCTGCGCGTGAGCTTCACCCTGTGGAACGAATCTACCCATTACCAGGTCCTGCTGACCAGCTTTCCACATACGGAGAACCACAGCTGCTTTGAGCACCTGTACCACATGCCTGCGGTAACTCTGCTATTTTTGACGTTTCTAGCATAGCTCAGAACCACCCTTCAAGCCCCAAGTCTCCTCTCTGCTAGTCTGACAGAACTGTGTTGCCGGAGCGTGGGGCTCATGCTGGGCTGACTCCATAGTGGTCGTGTGCCCTGCCTTTTTCTTCCCTGGTCATCTGATGCTTGGCAAAAAGGCGGTGGGCTCCGTCCTGCCCGTGCCCCAGTCCTTTCGTTCTTCCGTCCTCCACAGGCTCCCTTGTTCTCTTTTTGTTTTGATGTGTTCATTACGAAAAGGATTTGATAATTTAAAAACAGAAACGTGGGCCGGGTGCGGTGGCTCACGCCTGTCATCCCAGCACTTTGGGAGGCCGAGGCGGGTGGATCACGAGGTCAAGAGATCGAGACCATCCTGGTCAACATGGTGAAACCCCGTCTCTACTAAAAATCCAAAAAATTAGCTGGGCATGGTGGCGCGTGCCTGTAATCCCAGCTACTCAGGAGGCTGAGGCAGGAGAATCGCCTGAACCCAGGAGGCGGAGGTTGCGGTGAGCCGAGATCGCGCCATTGCACTCCAGCCTGGGTAACAAGAGGGACACTCTGTCTCAAAAAACAAAACAAAACAGAAATGTGGAAACAGAGATAAAGGGGAACTAAAGGAAATAAGTGCCTCACACCTGTAATCCCGATACTCTGGGAGGCCACAGCAGGCTTGGAGCTGGAGCTGCAGTGAGCCGTGATGGCACCACTACACAGTCGGGGGGACAGAGCAAGGTACTGTCCCCTAAAAACAAAAAGGCTGGGCGCAGTGGCTCACACCTGTAATCCCAGCACTTTGGGAGGCCAAGGTGGGGAGATCACAAGGTCAGGAGTTCAAGACCACCCTGGCCAAGTTGGTGAAACCCCATCTCTACTAAAAATACAAAAATTAGCTGGGTGTGGTGATACATGCCTGTAATCCCAGCTACTCGGGAGGCTGAAGCAGGAGAGTTGCTTGAACCTGGGAGGCGGAGGTTTCAGTGAGCTCAGATCATGCTTCAGTACTCCAGCCCAGGCAACAGAGTCAAAAAAATAAATAAATAAAAATAAATTAATTAATGCAATAAAATAGGCTGGGCACGGTGGTTCATCCCTATAATGCCAGCACTCTGGGAGGCCAAGACAGGTGGATCACTTGAGGTCAGGAGTTCAAGATCAGCCTGGCCAATATGCTGAAACCCCATCTGTACTAAAAGTACAAAAATTAGCCAGGTGCGCTGGCACACGCTTGTAATCCCAGCTACCTGGGAGTCTGGGCGGGAAATGTGTGCTGTGTGGCTCTGGACAACTGGTGTGAATGAACACAGATTTGTAGCCCCATTCCCAGCAGCCAAAGCAAAGAGGGCCTTACCAGTTACTAAATGTCCTTAGGAATTTACAGCAGAGTGCCTTCCATGCAAAAATGGAGTATTTTCTGGAACAGAAGCCTGAAAAGCGTTTGTCTCCTGGGGTTCCTAATGGGTGCCCTGGACAGCTGCTCGGTGGCAGTCGTAGGGGGTTCTTACCCAAATAGCCTTACCCGTCCCTGCCTCTCTCCTCAGCCCAGACCAGAGGACTTCCACCAGCGAACCAACATCACACTCACTGTACGCAGCCTTAGAGGGTGCTGTCGCCACCGAGTGCAGGTGAGTCAGTGTGGTGTGGATGGGTGCAGGGGGCAAAATGGGGGGACAGTGTGGTGTGGGGGAGTGGGGAGTGTGCACAGGTGGAGAGTGTGGTGTGGATGGGAGTGAGGAGTGTGCACAGGTAGAGAGTGTGGTGTGGATGGGAGTGAGGAGTGTGCACAGGTGGAGAGTGGTGTGGATGGGAGTGAGGAGTGTGCACAGGTGGAGAGTGTGGATGGGAGTGAGGAGTGTGCACAGGTGGAGAGTGGTGTGGATGGGAGTTAGTGTGCACAGGTGGAGAGTGTGGTGTGGATGGGAGTTAGTGTGCACAGGTGGAGAGTGTGGTGTGGATGGGAGTGAGGAGTGCACAGATGGAGAGTGTGGTGTGGATGGGAGTGACGAGTGTGCACAGGTGGAGAGTGTGGTGTGGATGAGAGTTAGTGTGCACAGGTGGAGAGTGTGGTGTGGATGGGAGTGAGGAGTGCACAGATGGAGAGTGTGGTGTGGATGGGAGTGACGAGTGTGCACAGGTGGAGAGTGTGGTGTGGATGGGAGTGAGGAGTGTGCACAGGTGGAGAGTGTGGTGTGGATGGGAGTGAGGAGTGCACAGGTGGAGAGTGTGGTGTGGATGAGAGTGGTGTGGATGGGAGTGTGCACAGGTGGAGAGTGGTATGGATGGGAATGAGGAGTGTGCACAGGTGGAGAGTGTGGTGTGGATGGGAGTAAGGAGTGTGCACAGGTGGAGAGTGTGGTGTGGATGCGAGTGAGGAGTGTGCACAGGTGGAGAGTGGTGTGGATGGGAGTGAGGAGTGTGCACAGGTGGAGAGTGTGGTGTGGATGCGAGTGAGGAGTGTGCACAGGTGGAGAGTGTGGATGGGAGTGAGTGTGCACAGGTGGAGAGTGTGGTGTGGATGGGAGTGAGTGTGCACAGGTGGAGAGTGGTGTGGATGGGAGTGAGTGTGCACAAGTGGAGAGTGTGGTGTGGATGGGAGTGAGTGTGCACAGGTGGAGAGTGTGGTGTGGATGGGAGTGAGGAGTGTGCACAAGTGGAGAGTGTGGTGTGGATGGGAGTGAGTGTGCACAGGTGGAAAGTGTGGTGTGGATGGGAGTGAGGAGTGTGCACAGGTGGAGAGTGTGGTGTGGATGGAGAGGGAGCGTGCACAGTCTGTTGTTCCTGCTGGTGTATAGGGAAGGCTTGTGCTCTCTCTGGCACCAAGTGTGGCTGGCAGTGAGAATTCCTTGCCTGTTGAGACAGTGCCCCTGCCTTTCTCCTCTCTGATTCTCCCGGCATCATCTGGGCAGGGGTCCTCTGCCCGTCCTCCCCTTGCTGGAGGGAGATGATGTCCAAGTAGAGATCGTGGAATAACCAGCCAGGGTTCCCTACTCGCACATTGCCTGTGCTGGCTGGATGCTGTGGGCGCTCTAAGGTTCTGCAGCCCTTAACCAGCCCTCCTGCCCGCAGATCCAGCCCTTCTTCAGCAGCTGCCTCAATGACTGCTTCAGACACTCTGTGACTGTTTCCTGCCCAGAAATGCCAGACACTCCAGGTAGGAGACATGCCACTGTCCAGGGCCACACTGGGAGTGCAGGTGGCTGAGGGCCACCAGCCTGGGCTGAGGCCTGACCTGGGTCTGGGGGGTGGTTTGGGAGGAGAGTTTAGTTTAACTTGGAGCTCTTCAGGCCTAAAGTGTGGAGTGGGGTTTAGAGTTGTCACTCCCTGGGGTTGGACTCCTGGCTGCCTTTTATTAGCGATGCATCCTCAGGCAAAATCCTTAACCTTTCTGACCCAAAACTTTCTTCACTGGAGAATGGGGTGGTGTTTAGCCTATAGGCCTAGTTCTGCGCCATGCACTGAGCACGCAGCTCCAACATGCTGTCCATGTTTGACCCTCCCTCACTGTGAGCGAGAGGATCCCCCACCCCAAACCCCAGGTTCATGGATGTAGAAACTGAGACACAGTGATACTGAATAACTTGTCCAAGATCACACCCCAGGGACACTGTTCAGAAGTCGCATGCCCTAATGCATGGGAGGCTGCGGCCACAGGCTCACAAGAAGGCTGAGACACGGGGCCAGGCTGGAAGGAGACCCAGCCTCCCAAGGAGACAAGGCATCTTTCCTTAGACCAGCAGCTCAAGTCCCTATCTCTTGTAGGTGGCTTCATTAAGTTCAGCGTGGATCTAAAGTGCCTGGCTCGGGGCCAAGGTCATAAAGGCCCTTAGGGGATGTCAGTGGTGGTTTTTGTGATGACTGGGGAGGGTTAGGGATACTCTCCCCTTTCCCTTTGTTCTCATTGCAGAACCAATTGCGGGTAAGCTCCGAACACTGCTGCAGCCCTCAGGGGCCATTCCCCAGGAGCCACGTGAGAGTGAGAAGTCCCTGCCTGACCCAGGCAGACTAGCCTGAAGGAGGCCAGCTGGGGTGGGGGGGGTGGGGGACGCTGTGCGAGGGTGAGACCACGGTTTGTCAGCCGGGGGTAGGGGGTTGGGGGTGAGACCACGGTTTGTCAGCCACAGGGTGGGTGAGACCATGGTTTCTCAGCCCGGGGGTTGGGGGGGCGGGCGTGAGGGGCGGGGTGGTGGACAGTGGTCGGTGGTCGGTAGCCAGAGAGGACAGAGCCTGAGGCTGGGGATAGGGGCTGGGGCCCTCAGGGCCGGCAGGGCAGGCCCGGGCAGCAGCACTCACACTGTTCTGCTCACCACAGACTCCATGCCCCTGTGGGTGTACTGGTTCATCACAGGCGTGTCCATCCTGCTGGTGGGCTCCGTCATCCTGCTCACCGTCTGCATGACCTGGAGGCTACCCGGTAAGGGCTGGGGGTCTGGCCGCCCCTAGCACTGCCACTCACTAGCAGGGCAAATGCTTTATTCTCTGAGCCTCAGGTTCTCGCTTGTAAAATGGAAATCACAGTGATAGCCATGTGACTGTGCTGCTGAGTGAAATGAGGCTCATGAGTTCTTAGCACAGAACCTGGCATGTGCTGTTTGCACAGTGTCCGTTAGCTACATTGTATTTGTTGTTATTAAATGAAATATTATTAAAACCAGGTTGGAAGGAGCCAGAGTGACGTTTTTTTGTGTCAGGAATTACCAGTCAGGCAGGCGGAGCAGCCTGGACAACCCCATCCTGCAGCCCCCAAATGTGTACATCTGCAGTCAGGGAGAATAGCGAGGCCAGCGTCGGGTGATAGAGCAGGCCCCAGCTCCCCTGAGCCATCAGGGTAGACCCCAGCCCCACCTCGTTAGCCATGTAGTCACGGGCCAGTTACTTAACACAGCATGGAGTCACTTTTCTGTAAAATGTGCTGATGATGCTTCCCTGTCAGGGCTGGGATGAAGGTTAAATGAGCGCTTGCTGGGGGAGATGAGTACAACCAGTCTCTTCTCCTGCCTGCCCTCTGCTGGCATGAGAGGGCCTTTGGGGGGTTCTGATAACATCTGACAGCTTCTGGGCTGGTGCTCTAGGCTGCGCAGCTCTCTAATGGTGTGGGGTGCTTCTCATTTCCTTTCTGCTGCTGCTTCTGTTTCGCAAAGTGTGCGGCATGCCGGGCTGAAGGCAAGGAGGAGCCTCGCTGGTTATTTGACTGCCTTTCACGGGCCTGGGGAGGAGCTGAAAGGGCCAGGATTGAGATTAAGGTTCTAAGTCACTTGCTCAGTCATGTGTGGGTCTTCATCACCCCAGCTGTCACCAAAGAATTAACTCCCACAGAGCAGTTTTTTCATCACATCTCTGAAGGAACAATTGCTTAAGTATGTGGGTTCCCCTTCCTCACTCCAAAAATACCAGGAGGAAATGTTGCAAGCAGCCCAGTGGGGTGGCTTCTGGAAACAGGGGTGGTAAGATGCATGCCTTCTGCAGGACGCTTCTGGGGAAGAGCTTTTCCTCAGGTGGAGTCAGTTTGGGGTGGCCAAATTTCAGGGACCAAATTTCAGGCAGACCAAGACCATAATTAGGAGGCAGGGTGGACCCGCCAGCACCGTTCTGGGGGTCCCAGCTGGGTCAGTGCTGTAAAATAACAACCGTGACCCCAGCTGATTATGTGCAACGTGCCAGGACTTTACATACGCATGCTCATTTAATACCCATTACACGAGAGCAGACACAGCCCCGCTGCACGGAGGAAGAAGCTGCATTTCGGAGGCACCAGTGGCTGCTCTGGGCATGTGCTCGTAGTGGCCGACCCAGGATTCACGGCTGTGCAGGCACCGCACGTAGCACGGCCTCCCGGCCCAGGGCCACCCGCTACCCTTCACCCTTTGTCAGGGGGAGGCACACGCCCTGTGAGCTGGGCTCTGTTTCTCTTCCCAGAGAACCACTCCAGTGTCTGTCTTTTCCTTTGCAGGGCCTGCAAGCGAAAAACACAGTAATGACACCAAACACGCCGGTCAGTATTTCCTGGTTTGTGTGTTTGCTTGTTTTTAAAGCAGTGGAGGGTTTTCCTGGGATAAGTGGGTGGATTGCCTCCTGTCTTCTAACTCCCAAAAGCCCCTTCAGGAGACCCTACCTTAGGAACCCCCTTCCAGGACCCACTCAGAAGGGCCCCTAATAACAAGGCCTGGGTGCCATTTATTGAATCAGACAAGGAAAGGTAAGGGCACGGTTTTTCTGAAAAGAGGTTCCTCCCTGGAGCAGACCAATAGGGCTGGCCGCTCTTTTTCTTTTTTTAATTAAAGCGCAGGCTAAAGACCAGTTAGGAACGTGAGAGATTCTTTGTCCCACAAGGCAGCAGACTGATTTTCTTCAGGCAGCCAAAGGTGGAATAGTAAATCTGCGTTTTTCCAGCAGGCCTCAGTCTCTTTCTCAGACTAGGGAGAGAGCCAGGCTGTGTCCTGGTCCAGGCCCCTCTGGGGCTGGCAGGCACAGAGCCGCCCTGGGCCCTGGGGTAGGGGCAGCACGTGTGGTCTTGTTTCCTTAGATGGCCTGCCTGCCACTGACCTGACGCCCCCACCGCTGAAGCCCAGGAAGGTCTGGATCATCTACTCAGCCGACCACCCCCTCTACGTGGACGTGGTCCTGAAATTCGCCCAGTTCCTGCTCACGGCCTGCGGCACAGAAGTGGCCCTGGACCTGCTGGAGGAGCAGGCCATCTCGGAGGTGGGAGTCATGACCTGGGTGGGCCGCCAGAAGCACGAGATGGTGGAGAGCAACTCCAAGATTATCATCCTGTGCTCCCGCGGCACGCGCGCCAAGTGGCAGGCGCTCCTGGGCCAGGGGGCGCCTGTGCAGCTGCGCTGCGACCACGGGAAGCCCGCGGGGGACCTGTTCACGGCAGCCATGAACATGATCCTCCCGGACTTCAAGAGGCCAGCCTGCTTCGGCACCTACGTGGTCTGCTACTTCCGCGAGGTCAGCGGCGAGGGCGACGTCCCCGACCTGTTCGGTGCGGCGCCGCGGTACGCGCTCATGGACAGGTTCGAGGAGGTGTACTTCCGCATCCAGGACCTGGAGATGTTCCAGCCCGGCCGCATGCACCGCGTCGGGGAGCTGTCGGGGGACAACTACCTGCACAGCCCGGGCGGCAGGCAGCTCCGCGCCGCCCTGGACAGGTTCCGGGACTGGCAGGCCCGCTGCCCCGACTGGTTCGAGCGCGAGAGCCTCTGCCCGGCGGATGACCAGGACGCCCAATCCCTGGACGAAGACGTGTTCCAGGAGCCGCTGCTGCCTTCGGGAACCGGCATCGTGAAGAGGGCGCCCCTGGTCCGTGAACCTGGGTCCCAGGCCTGCCTGGCGGTAGACCTCCTGGTCGGGGAAGGAGGAGGAGCAGCAGTGGCGAAGCTGGAGCCTCATCTGCAGCCCCGGGGGCAGCCAGCGGCGCAGCCCCTCCACACCCTGGTGCTCCCCGCGGAGGAAGGCACCCCGGCCGCCGCGGTGGAGCCCAGGCCCCTGGCTGATGGTGCTGCTGGCCGGCTGGCGCTGGCCGGGGAGGACGAGGCGTGCCCGCTGCTGGGTGGCCTGGGTGCTGGGCGAAATAGCGTCCTCTTCCTCCCTGTGGACCCCGAGGACTCAGCCCTTGGCAGCACCCCCATGGCGTCTCCTGACCTCCTTCCAGCGGACGTGAGGGAGCAGCTGGAAGGCTTGATGCTCTCGCTCTTCCAGCAGAGTCTGAGCTGCCAGGCCCAGCGGGACCGCGGGAGACCCGCCGTGGCCCTCAAAGACCCGCACACACCCTGCGAGGAGGAGCAGCGGCAGTCGGTACAGTCGGACCAGGGCTACATCTCCAGGAGCTCCCCGCAGCCCCCCGATGGACTCGCAGAAGCGGAGGAGGAGGAAGAGCAGGACCCAGGGAAGCCCGCCTCCCCGCTCTCTCCCGAGGACCTGGAGAGCCTGAGGAGCCTCCAACAGCAGCTGCTCTTCCGCCAGCTGCAGGAGAACTCGGTCTGGGACACGGCGGGGTCGGAGTCAGAGAGGCCGCGGGCCTGAGGGCGGCTCCCAGGGACCGCGCAGATCCCAGCCTTGAAGGAGTGTGTGTGCACACGTGTTCATCTGTGCGTACGTGTCTGCATGTGTGTGTCCGTGTGTGAAGTGTAGCTTTAAAATGTAGGCGTCTGGATTTTCATCCTAGGCATCCCCCCACCAACTTTTCTTTATGTAGCCGTGTGGTTATTTTCCATCCCCAGGGGAATCCATACAGCCTACACCAAGGAGCTAATGGCAGAGTATCCTTGATTCACCATCATTCATTCATTTATTCATTCATCAAGCATTTATTGTGCACCTAATATGTGCCAGGCATTTGAGATACCATGTGACATGGCCCCAGCCACCAAGGAGCTTAACCTCTGGTGCTGAGCACACATTAACAAACAGAATGGGCCAGCACAGTGACTCAGGCCAGTAATCCTGGCACTTTGGGAGGCCAAGATGGCTGATCACTTGAGGTCAGGAGTTCGAGACCAGCCTGGCCAAAATGGTGAAACCCCATCTCTACTAAAAATACAAAAATTAGTTGGACGTGGTTACACATGATTGTAGTCCCAGCTACTTGGTAGGCGGAGGCAGGAGAATTGCTTGAACCTGGGAGGTGGAGCCTGCAGTGAGCCCAGATTGTGCCACTGCACTCCAGCCTGGGCGACAGAGGGGTACTCCGTCTCAAAAAAAAAAAAAAAAAAAACTGGATAGTCACATGAAATGTAAAAACTGAATGGCCCAGATGCGGTGGCTCACACCTGTAATCCCAGCACTTTGGGAGGCCTAGGCAGGTGGATTACCTCCTGAGCTCAGGAGTTCAAGACCAGCCTGGGCAACATAGTAAGACCTCGTCTCTACTGAATTTTTTTTTTTAATTAGCCAGTCACGGTGGCACATGCCTGTAGTCCTAGCTGCTCGGGAGGGTGACGCAGTATGATCACTTGCTTGAGCCCCAGGAGGTGGAGGCTGCAGTAAGTTATAATGGTACCATCGCCCTCCAGCCTGCTCAACAGAGTGAGACCTTGTCTCAAAAAAGTAATAAAAAAATAGGAAGGTTGAGTGGAAGCCTGCACAAGAGAAGCACCAGGCCAAGGGGAGGGGGGTCCAGGAGGAGATGCCTAAACTGAAGGATTGTGGGCGGGGGAAGGAAACAGCCTGTGGGTGAGTGCTGGGAGGGAGTGGAGTGAGCGTGTCGGGGAGCTGCTGGTGGAGCCTGGACTGGGAGGAGGGGCGCAGCCGAAGAGGTGGGGTGGAGACATCAGCCCCAAGGCCTGGGGCCCCGTTTGTCAGATGAGCTGTCCCTCTGCATGGAGAGAAGCTAAGGGCCAAACACAGCTGGATGTCACCTGAGCTCATTTACAGGCCGAGAGAAATGTGGAGGTGAAAAGAAAATCATCCTGTAGGAAGGTGAGTTTGAACCTGCACCTGCATCCCAGTCAGTGGAGAGCTGCCGGCCGTCAGTGGGGGGCCGCCGGCCGTCAATGGGAGGGACCGCCGGCCATCAATGGGGGGGAGACTGCCGGCTGTCAGTGGGGGGCCGCCGGCCATCAGTGGGGTGTTGTTAGCGTGCCGGATTCTTCAGAGCAGCTGGGCTGGAGCTCCCCTGAGCTTGGGAAGCTGTGGGGTGCAAGGGCAAAGAAATGAGGGGTCGGGGGGAGCAGTGAAGATCTGGGCAGACCTTGTGTTGGGAGAGGAAGGGGTGCTGCTGTGACTTCACGGTCTGAGGTCCAAAAGCAGCATTTGAAGAGATGCTCTGAAGCGAGTGTTTGAAGAATCTGTTCCTCAACTACCTCCTAGGGGCAGGCTGGAGGGTTCTGGCTTCGGGGTCCTGAAGAACACATTGAGGTGCTGTCAGACGCTGAAATAGGGTGCCCTCTATTCCTGCACCTGAGTGCTTAACTGTATTTCCAAGCTCCAGTGAGGAGGAGAGGATTTGGAAATGTGACAGGAGAGCAAATAGGACAGTGTATGTGTGTGTGTGTGTGTGTGTGTGTGTGTGCAGGCATACAGGTAGCTGAAAGATTACCAGTAAAAATGCATTAATTGTTAATCTGGTAAGAGTTTCTAGCAGTTGTTTTGAGTCACGTATTGTAGGTCAAGAAGTTCCTAGTTGCAGAGTTTTTTTCTCACAGTTGGAGTTTACATAGTGGCAGCAGGGCCACCAAGGTCTGTGTCCCAGACAGTGCATGGCGCATACTCCACCCAACAGCAGCAAAGGACCAGGCAAGGGAGAACAGGAGCTGAGGCCTCCCAGCCACCGGCCTTCTGGGCTCCGTCTCTCCTCCAGTAGCCCTGGAGAGGGGCTTCGTTGGGCCTGGACAACTACCAGCATTTCTTTTTTTTTTTTTTTTGAGACGGAGTTTCGCTCTTGTTACCCAGGCTGGAATGCAATGGTGCAATCTCGGCTCACCGCAACCTCCGCCTCCTGGGTTCAGGCAATTCTCCTGCCTCAGCCTCCCGAGTAGCTGGGATTACAGGCACACGCCACCATGCCCAGCTAGTTTTTTGTATTTTTTAGTAGAGACGGGGTTTCACCATGTTGACCAGGATGGTCTCGATATCTTGACCTCGTGATCCACCCGCCTCGGCCTCCGAAAGTGCTGGGATTACAGGCTTGAGCCACCGCGCCCAGCTAACTACCAGCATTTCTGTGACCTTTCCAGTAAATACCCATTCAACCTCCAGAGTACAGAATACCACGGTGCACTCTTCCCCGGCTAGAGCATATGTTCCCATCTTCTCCCGTTCCTCACAAGCCTTGAATTCCAGCTCTGCTGGCCTTTGAGCCCATGCCAATAAATATCCCCGATGGGTAGTGCCCACTGTCTCCGGGGAAACTTCCATTGTTCTCTGGACAGCTGTATTGGAATACAGTCCACACACCGTACAACCCACAATTGACCCTGCACAATTCAATGCGTTTAGTGTAGTTACAGTTCAGCAACCATCAGCACAGTCAATCTTAGCACGGTTTATTGCCCCCAAAAGAAATCCAGCCCCCTTAGCCCCCACCGCACCCTCCCCATCCCTTGACACCCCTTGGCTCCTTTGATCTCTGTAGACGTGACATAGAAAAGAGTCATAAATTCTCCGGCGTGCCTCCATTTCTTCTTTTTTTTTTTTTAAGACGGGGTTTCACCATGTTGGTCAGGCTGGTCTTGAACTCCCAGCCTCAGGTGATCCACCCACCTTGGCCTCCAAAGTGCTTGGATTACAGGCGTGAGCCACCTCCATTTCTTCTTTAGTGTCATTCTGTTTCTCCTCATGTTCCCTCCCCATTTCCTGACCCTGGTCCTTGCTTATCCTAAATGTTAGGAATTCCATAACTCTGAGTATGGTGTCCGCTGTCAGCCAAATGCCAAGTGTTCCAAGAGTGTGTATAAAGCCACGCCTTTATTTTTGTATTATTCTGAACCATGGCTAATAAATTCTGCTTCACCCGAAAAGTCGAAGAACAGATGCCCTCCATGCTGTGCCCCTCCCACCTCTTCAGCAGTCTGCGTGCGCCCAAAACCGGCCGCGGAGCATCTAACCGTGACTGTCCAGGGCGATTGTGCCCGCAGCCACCAAGCAAGCTCCCAGCTCCCGCACAGTCTCATGACTTTTCCCTGCCTACTATCTTGATCCTGGTTTTGTTTTGTTTTTTTCTTTAAATGAATAATTACCTGGATTCAAAACCAGTTTCTCTTTTCTGTGTAGGAAGGTTCTTGAAGGTATTGAGGATCTAAAAAGGGTCGTGTTCAGTCCCTGAAACATCTGAGCTGGGTCTCTGAATGCAAGGGTGCAGTGGATTTACTTCTTTCTTTCTTTTATTGTGTCTTGGTTTTTCGTTTGTTTTTAAGTCAGGATCTCTCTTTCCGAGGCTCAAGCAATCCATCCACCTCAGCCTACCCAGTAGCTGGAACTACAGGCACGTACAACCGTGCCTGGCTAATTTGTGTGTGTGTATTTTTTATAGAAACGGGGTTACGCCGTGTTTTCCAGACTAGTCACGAACTCCTGGGCTCAAGCCGTCTGCCCACCTCGGCCTCCCAGAGTACTGGGATTACAGGCATGAGGCCACCATGCCTGGCCTTTACTGTTTATCTTTGAAAATTAAATAGGGTACGAGAGAGAAGAACAAGTGCTTGCAATGCAGTGGGCAGTTTTAATTCTATAGCCGTTGGGCTCTGCGGTTGGTGCCCTCCTTCCTGAATAAACGAGGGGTGTGCAGGGCCCTCTTCCACCTTAGCGCCCTGCCACAGCTGGGACTCCAGCAAGGCCAGGGGCACTTGAGGGCAGAGTGAGATGGACGCAGCTGCTCAGCATCCAGGCCTTCGTCCCCCAAGTCAGCTGCGTCAGACACAGGGTCCTCACATAGAAGAGGCAGCAGGGTTGGGGACTGGCCAGCTGCTCCTCCGCCCTAGGTGGCTTCCCCATCTGTGAAGTGGGCAGAGCAGGAGTTCTCACTTCGTGGGGTCCTGGGAGGCCTGCAGTGTCCCTGAGAGGCACCAGCCCGCTTCTGGGACAGAGCAGTTTGTGCCCCCGAGGCACCGTTGAGCCTCTTTCCCTGCCGTTAGGTATTGCTCTCTCCCTCCTGTGTTTGCTTTTTCAGACTCTAAAAGTAATAAGTGTTCCCATACTGGGCATCTCTCAGGAGCTCAGGAAGTGTCTGGCTGAGTGAGCAATGTGCATTGTGGAAAAACGGCCACAATATGGATTCCATGTGTTATATTTTGTAGAAGACTATGAAGAAAAGCAACTACCCTTCAACCCGGGAATTATCGGTGCCCCGATGCGTTCCCCGCCGAGCCTCCCTCACTTTGAAATGGCCTCCCGGTCCATCTTGCTCTCTACCTCCTCATGGCTCTCCACGCCCCATTGCCTCTCCCAGATCCTAGCACTGGGTCCCCTGGGCACTCACCCGGGTGAGCCAGCCTTGCCTGTGAGAGGAACACGCAGTCCCCTGTCTCCTGGCTTCAGGGGTGCCAGGGAGCCTGGTCCAGCCCACCTCCCCGTGGAGTCCTTCCCGGGAGAAATAGCCCCTTAGGTCATTGAGTGTAGGATGGGTTTGCTCACCGGATCCTTCCTCTCTGATGAGATAGGAAGAAGGTACAGAGAGGGGTGCGCACTGGTTCCTCCCGACCGACCGCAGCGCCACATTGCGCAAGCTACCTCCTCTCCG